CGGTGAAGAGCTCAGTGTCTAATCGAAGGGTGGCAGAGAGACTTCCTCAGTCTCCTGGTGTCAGCTCACAGGGTGCAGAGTTGAGCAGGATTCAGAGATCTAGGCTGGGTTCGGTGGGCCATCCATTAGTGATGTCTGCCACGGGCGTGGAATAGCAACACACATGTCATGTATTTTGACATGCCTGGCCTAGTCAGAATTATTTCAGTCATATTTTAAAGAGCACGTCGTTCGTTCTGCTCCATTATGCTCCCGTCCTCCCATCTAATAACCGAATCTATGTCGAGAGGGTTTTTAATGAGTCGAGACCCTTTGGACTTTGTGAGAACAAGGCACCATTAGAAAGTGAGAGTAGAATTTCAGCGCTATCCCCACACTGCGCAATTAAAGATGTTTTAATTAAGTAAAACTTACAGATGGTCAAGAGAGGCAGGGAAGGCAACCAGGTTAGGGAAATGTGCAAACTTCTGTGTGTACTTCAGCTGAGTAGATGTTAAATGATAAGCTTTGGCTCGTAGCGACCACATCTTTTAACCGTGTCTACTGAATTACCAGCGTGACTTTACTGTTTAAATAGAAATGCGATCTAAAGGCGTGGCTGCCTCGTCCAATGGCATAAGCAAGTTCTGCACGCCGCCACGCCCCCTACGGTGGTGCGCGTGGCCGCCGTGGCAGCAGTGGGTGTGTCTGGCGAGGACTAGGGTTTAATCCTTGGATTCTGCTTCTCACTCCATGAGCAGGGGCTAGGAGCGACCCCGAACTGCAGCCTCAACCCTGGGAGGGATGGAGACCTGTGTCATTCAACAGCAGTGACCCCTTCTGGCCAATTTAAGGAGAAGCATTGAAGGGCCCTGAAAGGAGTCACTTCCAGTCCTCCTCAGAGGTTGGTGGTCCTTGCACGGGGGTTGATTAGTGAGAAGGTGTGACATGGGCAAGAGCTGGTGGCACCTCCAGGCCTCCGGCGAGGAGCAGAGGTCCGCCTCGCGGGGAGCTGAGGGCAGATGGGCTACCCTCAGATGGACCAGTATTGTCTCTTGTGGGACACCCAGGGAGCAGAGATGGGAAGGAAATGAACTCTTGCTACCAGCGTTGAATGTTGGGGGGAGGGTGAAAGATGTGGGGGTGGGGAAAATGATGCCAACATCCCCTAGTCAGAGGCAGCCCAGAATGTGCATTATGCCTCCATTCCACTTAGTGTGAGGATCACCAGTCTCGACCGCCTGAGCAGAGAACCACTACCCCAGTCTGGAGATTTAGAAAAACCAGGGCAAGGCGTGTGCGTCATGTCGTAAGTGGCCTCAGTATTTATGTGCAGATGACATCCTTAGCACACATGTCTTTTATAGCTTGCCATCCATTAATCACACAGGGCACAAGTGTGTGCACACACGTACATGTATGATTACGTATCTGGCTAAGAGTATTTTTTATAATCAGCAAGGCAAATGTGTCATCTCTCTGAAATTTAGAATGCTTAAGAATATCTATGCCTGGCCACCTTCTCCGGCTGTTCCCAGAACAAAGATCCACCAAACGTGTGACAAGTTTATATCAGCCCCATTCGAAGGGATTCAAATCCCAGTTTTCATAGTATTTTTTTCTCAAATGATTGTTATTTTCTGATACAATGAGGACATCTAGAAGTGTTGGGAACTTTTTTCCTAATATCACACTTAAGTTGGCTTCTTATTTTTCAACTCTTTTTCCAAATTATACTTGTCTCCTCACATTTTCTCCATCTCTCTCAGCGACCGCAGACTCACACTACTAATGCTCACCCACGCGGTTGGTTCTAACGTCCTTCTCCTGCCCAGTGACCCCTGACGCATGCGTTTTTCCAAGCCCTTCAGAGTGTGCTGCACACAGGTCATGAAATCAGATTAACCCTCATGCCGTCCTCTGCCCAGTCTTGGCTTATTCTTTCCATCGACCTTTGTTTCTGATCATAAGCTCAGTCTCCTAATTGCCTGTAACTAAGTGGCACCTGTTTATCCTGAACACCCCCAGCGGGTCATGTGGCAGCTGCCCTGGCTAACCCGGATGACGTTCCCGCCTCTGTGGAGACCACTCTCCATCTAAATCCTGTCGTCATTCTTGCCGGTCACAGTCTGTGTCTTTTGCCTCTCACCTCATGAGCCTCCTTATATGTCGGTGTCATGTCTGGCTCTTTGTTGCATAAAAAATATGTTCTTGGAAGCACACAGCTTCTTGACCTGCCAGTACCTATATTGCTGGGTGTATCCAGTTCATATTTTAGGCATTTACTTCATCTGGGACATTTCTCTTTAAAATCACTTTTAGCAGATCGTGACAGCGATTAGCCAGAAAACATAGTTTGAAAACCTATTGATTATCTCCCCATAATTCTAGGGGAATCAATCATTCAATTAAATGAGATTTTCCATTCTAAAATAAAACAAGTGATAAGGGATTTGTTCAATTGGCACCTTGAAAATTCTAGAAGGGACGTGGAGCACCCACTGGCCCTTCTCCTGACCAGATGCTGCTCCAGGAAAGCCTTCTCTTGCTCCAGTGAAGAGAAGTTTTGCCCAGTTGTCGAAGTGTTTCATCGAATTAGCCTCTTTCTCAGGCAACGTGCCCTCACGTCCCCAAAAGCATCCGGCCCAGTCCCGTTTTTCCCGGCCTCGCCGAGGCTGAGAGCAGCTGGACGCTCTCCTGAGGTCACTGAACTTTTAGGTAGACCATTGCTCAGTGCCTGCCCAGCAGTGTCCACGTGACAGGCATCCTGTCCCATGCCCAGGTCACCCACCAACCCCATATGGTACCCTATGAACAAAGAGCCTGGAGCTGTGCCCTGTGTATGCCTCTTTCTCCCCTGTCCCCGTGCCTGTCCAGTGGTGGCCTCCACGATGCTCCCAGCTACAGTAGGTGGCTTCCTTGTTTGCATGGAAGGACAATTTATACTTAAAGGAGTAATTAGATGGATTCTTCTTGCACGCTTCCATTTCTGATGACTACCGGCTTCATCAGTGTAATTATAATTAGTGCACTTCATCTTCCTTTTATGGCACCAGCTGGACAGACTGGTTCTCTTTACTGCCCAGATTGGTGGCAGGGTTGCCTGTGTGGGGATAGGTGACAGGCACCATGAAATAACAGATGGTAAATTCAGGGCTTGTTGGCAATCAGCAGGTTTTTGCTAATGACTTAATTAGCTATGCAAATTGTCAAATCAGTGTGAACATTGTTTTTATCGAAAACTTTACCTAAATTAATTACCATAATTAAGTAGCAGAATGTCAAGGATATTGGCTGCATAAAAAGGGCCTGGCTGAGTAGAGAAAAGAGAGATTCTGTCTTCGATTAAAACGCATAGCATTCTCGGGACAGAGAAGATGCCATTGGAAAGGGGTCGCATGAATGTCGCAGAACGGCGTCCTGCCCTAGTTTGCCGCCAGTCCCCCAAGCCGTTCAGAGGCCCTAAGTGAAAGTGGCGGATTTTCGGAGGTCTCGAAAAGCGCCCAGTGGAAGGTCCCACAGCCCTCCCAAAAGTCCCCCATGTCGGCACGTCAAAAGCGTGGATTTTTTTAATTTTGAAAAATCCATTTTTTTATTTCTGCAGATTGCTAGCATTGCTCGTTCTCCGGTGTCAGGCTGCGCACTCAGGACATAAACTCGCGTGGTTGTTACACGTCAGGAGGCGATGTTTATTTCCTGTAGAAATCGCATATGCATCTCGGCCCCCGACACTGAGACTTGGCCCCGGTGTACAGTACACGAGTGTGTCTGTCCTAGATCCCCCGGCTCCTCCCGCTAGTGTGTTAAGCTGAGCTTCTCTCTCCCAAGGTTTCCCTGTAATAATGTCAGCTGCTGTTCACAGGATGTGATGGTGGTAGGAGAGCCAACTCTGATGGGAGGTGAGTTTGGGGACGAGGACGAAAGGCTAATCACTAGATTAGAAAACACGCAATATGATGCGGCCAACGGCATGGACGACGAGGAAGACTTCAACAATTCACCCGCCCTGGGGAACAGCAGCCCGTGGAACAGTAAACCTCCTGCCACTCAAGAGACCAAATCAGAAAACCCCCCGCCCCAGGCTTCCCAGTGAGATTGACCAGCACCAGAATCCACTGTCAGTAGGTCCGAGGGTCACATCCAGATCCTTACTTACAGGAGAGGAAGGAGGAGACATAAAAACTTTTCCACGCAAATACCTATTTCTAAACAACAATCATCTGAGTTTCTTTCGGTTTTTTGTTTTGTTTTGTTTTTTGTTTTTTGTTTTGTTTTTTTTTTTTCAATTGAGAGGATCATTCTAAATAAACTTCCATGACCCTTCCCTGGAGGCCTTCACAGGTAACACAGATACTGGCACTGATGGTTTTATTCAAACGAGATTACACGCTAGCGCTTCTCCTGGCACGGTGTTAACCGCGTGTTTATGCATTTCCCTTCCCCACCCCCCCGCATCAGACGAAGGCCATGTTGTCAGTAAGCCCTCCGTGCTCAGGATCTCATTATGTGCCGAACCCAACGACAGATGACTTTTTAATATTGTAAAATATTTTCTGCTTTTTGACGTGCATCTGAGAGTTTCTTGTTTCAGTAAAAAAAGAAAAGAAAAAAAAATCAGCTTTTGGAAAGTAATTTAAATGTACCTTTTTCTCCCCCCTTCACTTTTTCTTTCATTGGGTAACAGCTAAGAGGGCCCAGCAGGGTCATTTATGGGTGACCTAATGCCAATTGGATCTCCAACCCGAGTCAGTTCACTTGAGCCTGAGCGCTGAAACAAGAAATGTCTTTTTGTCATCAGAGACACCAAGGCAGATCTTTGTGTTAAGGAAGACACTTGGCCCCTTGAGAGTTTACGCGTTTATGAAATTGCTGTTGATCCAAATATTTTCAAGCCATGTAATCCATGACTTTTGTGGGCAGTTTAATAAATCTGAAACTCTTTTGTGTTTTTTATTGTATCTGAGTTGACCGTTGTTTCTTTTCATCGTATTTTTCTTGTATAATATTTTGTAAAGCCCTTACCTAGTTCTTTAACGGGATTTTTCTTTGGGGGCAATACCAGTGTATTTATGTGAAACTTTATAAGAGAACTAATTTTTCCATTTGCATATTAATATGTTCCTCTACACATGTAAAGACACAGTGGCTCCGTGTGTTATATAACAGCTGTATTTTATGTATGCTTTACTGATAAGTGTGCCAATAATAAACTGTGTTAACTACCAAAGCCGTGAGTCTGGCTATTTCTGAGCACAGGCAGAGAAATCTGTCCACAGTTAGGAGAAGTGTTGAACTTGAATTTATCGGCCAGGCTCCAAATGGAGTGGACTTGTAGAACCCGTCCCATCTTTTATAAAGTGTGCTTTCTGTCCTCACTCACTGCACTTGACCTGGGCAGACACAGTAGCGCCTTCCCTCTGTGGGTCACTGTGCTGGCCGAGGATGCAACAATGAGAAAAGAAGAACTGGGGCTGGCCAAACGGAAG